GTTATTTTTGGACTTGTAAGCTGATTTTTTAGTGCAAAATGCAAATTTTACACTTTTTACAGCTTATAGGTGCTGAAATAGGAAAAAATCTGCAATCTTTTCTTGGTGTTCAATCTGATTTTTGAGTTCATCCGATGCATATGTGCTGAATTATGATGTTTAATAGATGCATATGAGCTGCTTTGCACGTGCATGACATAACTAACCTTCTCATATGCAGCATTTTGTTTTGAAAAGTGCAAAAAAAAGCACAAGAATTGGTTTCCAGAACCAAATTTGAAGCTTAAAATCTACATTCTTTAAATCTGATTTTTATCTGTTCAAAGCTAAAAAGACTTGGTCTTAGCCATGTTTTTGGAGATTTTGGGTCCACCGAACACATCAAGGAGAGGAAAGTGATAAATTGATGCTGCGTATACTTTTATTTGTTGAATTCCCCAATTCCCTTTTCTCTTTGCTTATTCTCTTGGTTATATCATTATGATTTATTTGCATATCATATAGATGCATTGGGGACTATGCATATTTTAAGTGTGGGGGGAGTTGCTCATGCTTGTGACATTGTTTTCAAAAAAAAAACTTTTGGGGCAAATTTTTTTTCAAAAAAAAAAAGGTTTTGGGTCCAAATATTTTCATTCTTAGTTGCATATTTCCTTATTTAGAGCATTGTTTTCAAAATTTGACCCAAAAACCTCATTGTTTTTCTTGGGGCTTAATTCTGAAAGATGGCAAGTGTATACTTTATAAATCTACATTGAGTCTTATGCTCTTTTCTTGGTAAAATGGCCCTTAAAATGTTTGAAATCCTTCTAGGAATCCCATAGAATTTTGTTTTCTAGAACTGGTCATCCACATATTATCTAGATGCTGCCTAATCAACCATTGCGTGATATTAAAATCTGAAGAAAAAAACAGAGAGAAACCAGTTTTAGGAGCCTTTTATTTTTAGAAAATTGTGCGATTTTTATATTTTTAGGCTTATTGATGAACCTTGCTACCACTGCTATTGAGCCGCTCTAAACCATAGGATTCCGCTAGGAAACTTTTTTGTAGCAGCTTTAGAGCATTTGTTAGAACCCAAAAAAATCCACACCTTAGTTTTCCATCCTTTTAGGATTTCTAGCTCACTTTGTTTTTAAAATATGAATGAGCATAAAGTCTTAAGAGTGGGAGTTTAAAGTTCACTTTGTTTCTTCTTGATGATGATAAAAAGAAATAATATATTCCTTTTGGCCCTTGAACGAGGACGTTCAACTCCTAAGTGTGGGGGTATTTGATAACTCAGGTTTGGGTTAATATTTTTAATTCTCTTTTTGGCATTTTTAGTACTTTTATTGTTTAATTTTCATTTGTTTAGCTTAGTTTTATTTTAATTCCTATTATTACAAACCTTTTATTTCCATTCAAAAATAGTTGTTTTTAATCGTTTTTTACATGTTAATATTTTAATATTTTTATTTTTCCTAACCCAAAACGCAGCAGCAAAGAAGCGGTGAAGTCGAATTGCAACCAAGTCTCAGATTGAAGCAAGAAATCAGCGGTGAATCATTCAAATCCTTTCAAAATCGATGTGTAACTGAACGGCGACTTCAATTCTCACAACAAATGCTCTAACGTTCGGCCATACCCTCCGCTTTTGACCAAGTAAGCAACGGTTTCTTCTACGCTACTCTCTCAAATCAACGGGAAGAAAACCTCTGATCTATAAATTGAGCACAGAATTGCAGTTTCAAGATGAGGGGGGAACGAATCAGAGAGCTCCATTCTTCAAAACTTGAATTGGCTTCCGGACTTAATCCGGAAGTCAACCCTTTAAATTTTCAATTCTTTTGTTGTTTCTTTGTTCAAGTTTTGTTTTTTTTCCCAATATATCATTTTTTTTGTTACTTGTTCATGTAATAGAATCTGAAAAAAATATAACGGTTGGTGTTCTTTTGGGTGTATGTTCTTGTTTTAAATGTTTATATAGAATCCCTTATGAATGAGAATTGATTCTTTCTTATTTACTTCAATTATTGCACAAGTTGTTGTTAAATTGGTTGAATTGTTTCAAATTCATAAGTAGGTTTTATGTAGAATTCGGTTTTTGTTGAAGCTATTTTAGCCCCGAATTCATACGTGTTTCTTTGTTGTGCTTGTGTTCGTTGATTTTAAGGATTTTGGACTTCTTAGCCCCATAAGTTGATTCATTTTCCTTAGAATTCGTTATAAAGTGATTTTGTTATGTTATATGTTTGTTTTCCATTTTCTTTAAATTGAGATTGTTTAAGTGCAATAAACAATTCTCATTTTATTGAAAATACGTTGTGTTCCTCTATGTGAATAGAAAAAACGTCATTGGTTTGAGAAGTTCATGGAAATCTGTGAAATGTGCTCATCATTACGAGAAAAAGTTTATTAAAATGCATAGGGTATTGGCAGTTTGTGAATAGACTATGTATGAGAGTTGAATGCATAATAGATTCTCTCTTTTATAAACTTTTTCTATAGTGGAAGTATGTTTTCATGCTTGAATAGAGAGTTGGGGTTTTAAGGTATATTTCAAAACGGGCCTTTGAATTGCATGACTCCGGGCCGTGTGGAGAGTTGACAATCCTCCATATCGTGGTTAAGGAAATGAATCGACTCGGCCTTTGATTGTTTTTCCTATTCTTAAGTGCGTAAGTTACGTAATATATTGTCTACGTGCCTATTATACGTGTAATGTTCGATTTGTGTTTGTTTTTTTTTAATTTTGTTTCGGGTTCTTGGCGGTGTTTTTCGGGTTACCTCGGTTGAAGAAGTTGATTATCTTTTGAGCTTGTTTTCCCCCATTTTATAAAAAAGAACCAAAAAAAATAAGAAAATATAAAAACCAAAAATATTTACTTTTTATTCAACCCCCCCCCCCCTCGTGTTTCAAGTTATAAGTATAAGTTTTTATACCTTTTTTTTAGTATATCTTAAGTATGTGTTTTATGTTTTTAGTTATATTATAGTTCTTTGTTTATATAAGTTATATTTATAAGTTTTTAAATTTATGTAGTTATAAGTTTTATTATAAGTTTTATAAGTATTATCATCTGTGTAGTAGTTTGTTTTTTTTTATATTTATTTTCGTGACAATGTGTTTGCATGCTAAATTGGTTTTAAAAAGTACAAC